TGTTAATAGTTTTCCATTGTCTTTTTCAATAGTGAACACTGCTTCAGCTACTTTATCCCTAAATAGGCTTTTGAGCAGAGCTGGGAACATAACTGTTACTTATACGAGATTGCAAACATCCTATTGACAAATTTTAGGAACACAACACATTTTTTTAAAATGGGGATGGCCTCAACTAGCTAGCATGCACCTGGGAAAGAAAATGCTAGTTGCCTTCTAATCCATTTCCCCCTTCTTCAATATTAATAGAATTTCAGACTTTTGGTTAGGCTGATATTCAGCTGTAATAAAGACTAAATTTCTCAGCTTCCCTTGCTACTAGATCTGGCCATGTGATTAAGTCCTGGTGAATGAAATGTAAGCAAAAGTGATATGTGTGTTTTTAGGGAAGTGTGTTTAAGGAAAGAGGGCATGACCTTCTTCTCTCTTCTCTCTTCTTACTGACTGAAATTGGGATGTAATGGCTGGAGCTTGAGCAGCCTTAAGGTAAGCTTTGGAATGGAGACCACACCCAGGAGTACCTGACACTTCAGAGGACCATCTTAGCTCTGAATTTCCTACCTTCACTTATAGCCAAACAGTATCCTAGTATACAGCCTTACAAAATAGTGTGAATTTACAGAGCACAAACAAGAGTCAATTAGGCAGGATTTCCTATAGTATGAAAGCTCACAACAGTGACACTTGTACATGGTCTTGCTAAGGTTTTACTATTGCTTATGCTCATTCATAATCTTTGATACAAAGAGCTAATGTGAGAAAAAGATTGAAGTATGACTACAATTTTACAAAATCTAAATAAAAAGCAATACATAGAAGAAAGATTAGGGACTTCCCTGGTGGCACAGTGGTTAACAATCCACCTGCCAGTGCAGGGGACACAGGTTCGAGCCCTAGTCCGGGAAGATCCCACATGCCACAGAACAGGTAAGCCTGTGCACCACAACTACTGAGCCTGCGTGCCACAACAACTGAAGTCCACACACCTAGAACCTGTTCTTTGCAACAAGAGAAGCCACCGCAATGAGAAGCTCGCACACTGCCATGAAGAGTAGCCCCGGCTCACCACAACTAGAGAAAGCCCGTGCACAGCAACAAAGACCCAACGCAGCCAAAAATTAATAAATAAATTTATAAAAAAAAAAAAAAAGAAGAAGAAGAAAGATTATAACAGTATTTGTCTTGGGTGTTCAGGGGAGTCCCCTCGAGTGAGCTAAGCATGATTACAAGTCAATTATGCAAAGTAAATAAATGAAGGAATTGCGAATGAATAGATGGATGGATATGCCCAAGGTTTTAAGTTTTAAAAAGGTTTTAAATTTTGAAGAGTTTATGAGCATTCATAAACAAAGAGAGTGAACATAAACACAAAGCTTAAATGCTTCACAGTTTAGAAATCAGAAGATTGGTTATTGAGTTCTGCAGTGTGAGTTGACGACAACTGAGAAAGAGATGGAGGGTAGAAGGGAGGGGTGCAGTGTAGAGGTACTCTGAGGCCCAGACTAGCACTGGACCCTGACCAGCAGTAGGGCTGGTGGGATGGAGGTGACAGTCAGGCCATTCTCCAAAAGAAGGACCCTGAGGAGAAGGAAGGAGGATCTAGGATCCTCTCCAGGAGTTCAATCCCAAGGAGGACTGATCAGTTCTCAACATTCTAAAACGATGGCTCACAAGGTGCTAACAAACTGGTTCTGAATCATGCTGTATACTGTCCTTTACTTTAGGAACCAAAAAAGGTGTTTAGTGAGTGGTGGTGGGTGATGATAAGTAAGAAGCTTCTCCAAGTCTAAATATCATGCAATTTTTCTTTAAAACTGTACACATATTTAAGAAAATTTTAAAATTCTCTAGATTTAAATTTGCAATTTCTAGTAATACAACAGTAAATCATAGAGGAGTTCTACAGGGTCCAGATTCAAGTTAGCAGCAACTCAGGAAAAAAATGAAAAGGCAAGAGAAAGGAAGTTATATTCTTAGACTTAGACACTTTCTATTTCACTAAAAGTCAGTAAGAAAAACTTCAACAGTTCTAAAAAAGCTAAGTACATGTGTAGATACAGAACAAAATATGTAACTATTAAATGTAATTGGATCATATTTACATGTTGAATCATTTAGTATAGGGACTTAGGTACCAGGGCTGCTATTTTTTCTCATTTCCTACTTTCTTCATTCATTGAACAAATATTTATTGAGGGCATATTGTGTGCCAGGTACTATGACAGGATTATAATGATACAGCTATGAAATATGATGATATTATATATACAATATATCATATATACCATATAATATGATACAATGATATAACAGGATTATAGTGATATAACTATGACAGAATTATAATGATGAACAAGACACAGCTCTCTGAACAATTTTATCTCTTAACCAGGGAAATGGTAAGTAAACAACTTCCACACAGTATGACACACACCATGATAGGTCTAAAGATAGGACATACCAAGAGTACAGAGGAGAGGCACTTCTCCCAGTCTTTTGGAGTTATACAGAGGGAAGACGCATATGCAGAGAGCTAGAGGAGAACGTTTGTGGAACTAGACATACAGATATAGTTTGACTGGAGATTTTAAAATGTCAGCCATCAGTAATAGCATTTCTTGACATCTATTTGGATTCTAAAGTGGTTGCTTGACTAAATGCCACTAGACAATAGTATCTTTCTGGTCTTATACCCTAAAGTAAAAATGATGAGTTGATGATGCCTCATATTTTCAGAGAATAGTTTCAGAGTCCAAGTTGGCAGTTTCATAGGAAAGATAGGAAAGGAAAAGTATAGCCAGAAATAGAAAAGCACACAGAGTGACTTCTTTTTGAGAGCTTAAATGCTCTGAAAGGTCATGAATAAATAAGGAATAATTATATTTTTCAGCGTATGTTAATGCATTTCATTAGATGTGTGTAGGACAAACTATATCACTGTCTGTTATTCAAATAATAGAAAGAAAGGAATGCCATTAACTGTTCACAATTTATCTCAGAAATCAAAGGTATGTACATTTACTTCCTATATTTTGTCAATATACCATCTTTCTAATTCTTACTCCTTCTGAAATAACAGCCAAATATCATTTAATAACGAGACAATAAATTAGGAATGATAAATTTAAAAACAACTGTAGAGCTTAGGATTCAGAAGGTTCCAACGCAGACCCATATTTGGCAATGATAACATAAATGTTAGTCAAAAGAACTTTTCTTAAAATAAATCAAAACCAAAAGTGAGACATGCAGTTGGGATAGGGGGAGAGCCGGGCTGTTTTGTTTTGTTTTTTCATTTTTAGGATTAAAAGAGAGAAGTCCTGATGATGGAGTTTACGATGGTTGATGTTTTAGAAAGCACAGATTAGAAAGAATTTATGTCTTTGAAAGTAATAACAAGACTTCTTTTCTCAAATTTAAACTGAATTTGTAGCTCTGTGAATGTATTCCGGTGTTAACTCTGAATTCAAATGTACTGTTGACTGGCCTTTGAGAACGGGTGTTACAGTACAAAGAGCATGGACTGCTGAACCAAACTGACCTAGATAGGAAACCCTGTCATGTCACTTGTCAGCTATGGGCTGTTGCCCAAATCATTTAATCTCCTTGGGTCAGTTTTCTTACACGTAAAACTGGAATACTTATTTCTGACTCAGGATTGTTGTAAACTTAAATGAAATAAATAGCTAATGTGCCTCATTAGACCAGGCACATTAGATATTGCCAGACCCTTAATAAACTTCTGCCAATTGAATTAATATTAAGCAAACAGGTCAGTGATATTCAATGTTAAATGAGATTTTGGACTCCATAGATAACTTTTTCCCAGTTTTTAATTTTCTTTTGTTTTATTTTTAGGATTAAATAAATTCATTTTTATTTAAAAAATTGGGGGGGTGCCAAAACCTGGGAATAAAAATTTTTAAAGAGAGAGAATTAGAAAATACAGTCAATGCTCTTTTTTTTGGCTTAAACAACAGAATTAATTTTCTCACAGTTCTGGCAGCTAGAAGTCCAACATCAAGGTGTTAGCAGGTTTGGTTTCTTCTGAGGCTTCTCTCCTTGGCTTGTAGATGGCCATGGTCTTCCCTCTGTGTCCTAATCTCTTCTTACAAGGACAGCAGTCATATTGGATTAGGGCCCATTCTGGTGACATTTTAATTTAATTACCTCTTTAAAGACCCTATCTCCAAATACAGTCCCATTCTGGGGTACTGAAGGTTAGGACTTCGATACATGAACTTGGGAGGGATGAAATGGAGCCTATAACACCCCTCTACCCCGCCACCCCTGTTTTAACATTGGCCTTTTCCCATTTTAAGATAATTTTACTTAGTTTTGGGGAGGGTAAAACAGATAACTATTATATTTTAATGATTAAAAACAATTCTGTAAAACGAGCACACAGTGAATACAGTCACTTTAATCTAGGGTCGCCGACTCTCTGGGCCTGGGGAGGGCATGCAGTTGGTCAGAGCCCAGTCAAAAGGGACTCGCTCGGACTGGGGGAAGGAGGCGGTCAGCTGGGAAAGAAGCTCCAGTCAGCGGGTGGCACGTCCAGCTGCAGTCTATAAAAACGCATCTCGGGGCCAGTTTTACTTATGGTGACCGACTGACGTCCCTGCTCCTGATTACCATCGAGCTAACTAACCCTGGTACAGGACTTCAGCTTAGACAACGCTTTGACAGGCTGTGTCTCTCTTAATCCTCTCGTCCCCGGACGAGGCTGGTGGAGATTTGTCAGCAGTAAACTGTTTACTCTGCACACATTCCAAAGAGGAAAATGGGCCCCTGCGCGGGAAAGAGGCCCGCTCCCGGGACAGTTACTCAGCGACTACCTCACGGAACCCCGGGCTGCCAACTCGGCCGCTGCGCCCCTCCTCGGGACGCAGGCGCTGTAGCGGAGTTCTTCCGGCGAAATAGCTGTCCATCCCCCAGGCAGCTGCGTCAATGCTACGCGCAGCGAGAGGCGGAGCCTCGGCCCTGCGACAGTCGCCTGCGACAGCCGCCTGCGCGGGTCGTCATGCTGTCAACCAGGCGCCTGGGTCTGGTCTTGCTACCGCTGAGGCGTCTCCGGAGGTGGCCAGGGTTCGGGACCTGTCCATTCCTGCTCTGCCTTGGGCAAGAGCCCTTCGAGAGAGCCCGGTTATTGTGTTGCAAATTCTCGTCTAGAGACGCGCGAGATGAAGAAGGAGAGCGCGAGGCGGCACAGAGGAAAGCCCCAGACGTAGAGTCGTCTCCATCTCTCCCTCCGCTCGTCCGGGGACTTGGGACCAGATGTCTTTCGTCACTGGAAAGCCTCAGACTACCGACGCCGCGAAAGGAGTCACCCCCTCGAAAGCGCGAGGGCTCGAGTGAAGACCAGGGCCAGTCGGGTCCCGCACACCAGGGATCCGGCGGTCCCTCGCTGCCCTGCGTGGCCCAGTCTGCCACCAAGGATGACGAACTTCACGTCTCCTCTTCCTGGTCAACTACCCAAGAGGTGCCTTTTCGGGCTGGGGAGCTGATTTTAGCTGAGACTGGGAAGAGAGAAACACAATTTAAAAAATTATTTAGGTTGAGCAATGCCGGACACTTAAATAGTACCTGGGGGGCAGTCCCGTTCAGCGAGATCGTGGGGAAGTTCCCCGGCCAGATACTGAGGAGTTCCTCTGGTAAGCACTTCATGCTGAGGAGGCCAGCATTGGAAGACTATGTATTACTGATGCAAAGAGGGCCTGCCATAACATATCCTAAGGTAATGCGATGGGAGTTAGGTTCATTTGGTTCCACCAAGAGCAAAACGGATGCAGTACTACAGACCTGATTAATGTACTTAAAGCACATCTCAGCACGTTTCAAGTTTTTATTGTTCTCACTTTTTTTTTTTAACCAATGGCTATGACTTTTACATATTTTATGATTACTAATTTTAGGAAGAAATAGCCAGATTTTAATTTTAACTTGGGAGCCTCGATTCTCAGATCTGTAAAGTGATTTACTATATAGAGTGATGTGGACTCACTAGGCAATAAGAATGTGTATTTATTCCCCATAATTCTTAAGGTTGCGAGTTCAGCATTCAAGAGAACGTTGAACTCTTGGGGACAATTTTTTAGTACCACTGTGGCGATATTTTAAGCATCATATTTAATCAGGCATGTTGTTAGAGGTATATTTTGTCAACAATAGATATCAAACTATACTTTTTTAAAATATATATATATATTTTGTTGTTGTTTTTCGGTACGCGGACCCTCTCACTGTTTTGGCCTCTCCCGTTGCGGAGCACAGGCTCCGGACACGCAGGCTCAGCGGCCATGGCTCACGGGCCTAGCCGCTCCGCGGCATGTGGGATCTTCCCGGACTGGGGCACGAACCCGTGTCCCCTGCATCGGGAGGCGGACTCTCAACCACTGCGCCACCAGGGAAGCCCTAAATATATTTTAAATTTTATTTTATTTTTGGCTGCATTTGGTCTTTGCTGCGCACGGGCTTTCTCTAGTTGCGGAGAGTGGGGGCTACTCTTCGTCGTGGTGCACGGGCTTCTCCTTGCGGTGGCTTCTCTTGTTGCGGAACACGGGGTCTAGTAGTTGTGTCACGCGGGCTTAGTAGTTGTGGCGCATGGGCTTAGTTGCTCCGTGGCATGTGGGATCTTCCCGGACCAAGGCTCGAACCCGTGTCCCTTGCATTGGCAGGCGGATTCTTAACCACTGCGCCGCTAGGGAAGCCCTCACTATGCTTTTCCCATTAGAAAAAAAAATTTATATGAAAACAGCTAAAATTAGACACTAAACATAAAAGGAATATTATTTATAAGTAAATTATCTACCTAGTTTCTTGTTACAATCTTATGCTAATCATCCTTGCTAGTGGTTTATTTTAATCATTAGTCACAGTCACTGTCCTTGAGCAGAATGTTCCTTTGTAACAACTCCTCCTCCTAGTCCTAGATGAGGAATCATTCATTATTTCTTTAGTAAATACTCGCCTACCTTATATATTCAGGGCACTATTTTAGGGAGGTGAAGCGGTGAACCACAGCCCTTGCTCTCAACATAGACCTTATGTCCTAGAGGAGGTGACAAGGAACAAACAAGTAAATGAAAGAATTCGATAATTTCAGGTAGTGCTAAGTGCCATGAAGACAAGTAGATTAACAATAACATTGTGTTGGGTAACCTGGGGGAGGAGAATACTTTATGTCAGGTGGTTAGAGAAGGTCTCTGAGGAGGTACATTTGATAAACTAATTAAGGAAGAGCCAGCCTTTGCAAAGATCTAGGAGCAGAGTGCTTGCAAAGGGAAGAGTATTGCAGAGTTCCTGCTGCGGGCTGAGTGGGTTAGGTGAGGGAGAGAATGGTATGAAATGTGCTGTGGTTGGAGATATGAGTATTTTATTCCATGTGCATTGGGTGACTGTTGGAAGGTTCTAAGTAGGAATCCAGTCTATATATATGTATATTTTTTAATAAATTTATTTATTTTATTTATTTTTGGCTGCTTTGCATCTTCACTCCTGCACACGGGCTTTCTCTGGTTACAACGAGTGGGGGCTACTCTTCTTTGCACTGCAAGGGCTTCTCATTGCGGCGGCTTCTCTTGTTGTGGAGCACAGGCTCTAGGTGCGCGGGCTTCCGTAGTTGTGGCTCGCGGACTCCAGAGCGCAGGCTCAGTAGTTGTGGCGCACGGGCTTAGTTGCTCTGCAGCATGTGGGATCTTCCGGGACTAGGGCTCAAACCCACGTCCCCTGCATTGGCAGGAGGATTCTTAACCACTGTGCCACCAGGGAAGTCCCTCCACTGACTTTTGAAAGCTGGTCTCCTCCGTAGAATTATGTAGTTTTATCTTAATATTAAAAGTTGGTCTGAGGGAGCAATTTTGAATAAACTTCCTAATAGTTACGTGTAAAGTGTGAACATTTCACAGGGGTCAATATCAAGCACTTTTAGGTTTGGAGTAGAAGTATAAATGGCAACACTCCCTAAATTTTTATTTTATTTTTATTTATTTATTTATTTAGGCCACACCCTGTGGCTTGCGGGATTTTAGTTCCCCAACCAGGGTTTGAACCTGGGACCATAGCAATGGAAGTGCCAAGTCCTAACCACTGGACCGCCAGGGAATTCCCAACACTCCCTAAATTTTTAAATTAATCTTTTCTGCTGATTTGCATGTTTGGAATACTTACATAAGAACCATTGGAGAGTAGGAATTGTTGCCACTTAAGGCTAAAGTGCAGCCCAGTCATTAAAACCTTCTGCTGAGGATTAGGTTTAAATTGTTGAATTAGTTAGGAAAGAGATTAAAATTCCTGCCAAGGAAAAAAAGGAAAAAGTCTGAAAAGATTGTTTGAAAGCCTAAAGTTTTAAAATGTATAGAAAACTCAACAGTAGAGTGATATTTCATAACTTCAGAGGAGTCTCCCAGTAGCTTCAAATCCCTTTTGGAAAGAGGCAAGGAAATGAATAAATGCTATTCCCACCCCAGTTTTGGACTGAAATCGCTAGGATGTGTAAAATGGGCTCCAACCTCATTCCATGGAGACCAGGTAACCTGAATGGCAGGAAGCAAAAGTTAAAGTGTGCTAACGTTTTTTTTTTAATTTTATAATTCTAGTCTTATATGAAAGAGCCAAGGAAATAGAACTGCCTTCTCCAGGGCATTTCACTGAAATGGCTACTGGAGCTGCCTCCCACTCCTGTGTGAAGTTATCTGTGCCCCCTCCCACCTCTACTCCCACGTGCCTGGCAGATGGGAGAGGATATGTATGTCTGAAAGACTTTGAATTTGTTAATGAAACTTTTTGACTAATACCCCTTAAGGATTATGTGTCTAAGTATCATTTGGTTCAAGCCTTAGTCCATCATTTCAGAAAATACATTTTGAGGGCTTCCCTTCCCTGGTGGCGTGGTGGTTGGGAGTCCGCCTGCCGATGCAGGGGACACGGGTTCGTGCCCCGGTCCAGGAGGATCCCACATGCTGCGGAGCGGCTGGGACCGTGAGCCATGGACGCTGGGCCTGCGTGTCCGGAGCCTGTGCTCCGCAATGGGAGAGGCCACAACAGTGAGAGGCCCGCGTACCGCAAAAGAAAAAAAAAAAGAAAATACATTTTGGCTTTTAATTAGATAACTGTACCTGTTAAATAGTTTCTTATGCATCCAAACCTATATTTAATACACAACTTTGTTGTGACTCAACAGAGGATCCTAGAAAACCTCCTGTTTCTTTTAGAATTTTCACAGCAGCTTTTGCCAGAGAAGGAAAAGATAGTGAAACCTTACCAGATGTGCTGCTTATTAGCAACTTCGAAAGGTTTGTTATTGGGGGGCTGTTGAAATAAATGCTAACATTTAAAATTTTCTCTCTCTATAGCATTTGTAATATATAGTGAAATGATCAACAGCGTGGTTAGGAGATGTTTGGGAGTTCAACATCAGGTCTACCCCTGACTTGCCCACTTGATTCCTGGCTGTGTGACTTTGGGCAAATTACTTTTTCGATTTCTCATCCTTATAATGGGGATGGTGATACTTTTCTCATATTAGTATTCTGATTAAACAAGATAATGTTTGAAAGCAGTTTGCATAGTTAACAGAAGCCTGGCACCTGGTGAAGTTTCAATAAACAGCTATTACTACTATCATCCATGATACTCCTGTTAACAAAACAATTCTTTAGTTATAAAGTTTGGCAAATGAGTCCTCCTGTCTATTCCTGGTATCCTAATTCTAATGAGCATTCATCATTTCATGCAGAGATTATGTAATAACTTCCTAACTGGTCTTTATACCTCTAATTTTTTTCTATTCTTGTACATCCTGTATTCGTCTCACAGATTAATCTTTATAAAATGCCATTAATATTACCTCAGTGACATGCCCCAGTTACTTACCAGGTTAAGTTCAGATGCGTTAGCATGGATTCAGGTCTCTCCTTACCGCTCCTCCTGAGATGGGCAAACTGTGTTTATTACTCTACCTCTTTTTTGTTTAAAACTGTTTCTACTTTGTGACTGTTTCCTTAAATTCTCTATGTCTTTAAGGTAGGGCAGTCTGCTGATTTCTCCTTTCTCTGAGCTCCTATTCTTACTTATTTTCTGTAATTTCAATATTATACTGAAGTGCTTCTGTATTTGCTACCTGATTCTTGAATCTCTCATTTCATCAAGTAAAATATAAACTTTTGGTAGGCAGGGCCAGAGTTTAATCCTTTTTTTTTTTTCACTTCTTTTCTCCAAGTCCAACATAGTGTTTGCAAGCCTAGGTGCTTAGTACATATTTATTGGTCACAGAGTCACCCATGCTGTGTTTCAATCATAGGATATGAATATGATACTGTTGATGATGAATATCCACCCAGGTGATACTGTTTTGGAAGCTGGCTCGGGCTCTGGTGGAACGAGCTTGTTTTTATCCAAAGCAGGTAAGAGATTGGGATAAATGAGTTGAATTTAGATGACAAAGAAAACATTCAGTCTGTCCATAATAACGGGAAGTTAAATAGATACAGATGTTTCAGAAAATATTCACATAACTTTGTGATAGAGAGCATTCTCCTTGAAATCAAATGTAAGCAACTGTTTTTCTTTCCATTTTGTGCATTTATTCAAGTCATTCTCTGTCTAACCCTCTCTCTGTTTGCTTTCTGTTGCTCCCTCCATGCTTTTTTTTAACTAAATTTTTTTTTAGAACATAACATAGCTACAGAAAAGTACACAGATCGTAAGTGTATGCCTCAATGAATTTTTATATCGTGACCACACTCACGTAGTTATTACCCAGATCAAGACAGGGAATGTTATTGTACCACTGAAACCTCCTCAAATCCCTTCTCAGTCCTTATCCTACCCAAAGGTAAAAGGTAGCCACCACTCTGACTTTTATCACCATTGATTAGTTTTGCCTGTTTTGAATCTTACGTAAAAGGAATCCTGTAGTATTGTACTCTTTTGAATCTGGTTGCTTTCATTCAGCGTTCTGTTCGTGAGATTCAGCCACTGCATGTAGCGATGGTTATTTCATGTTAGTTGCCATTTTTGTAAGTAAAGCACAGTTTATCCATTCTGCTGTTGATGGGCATTTGAGTTGAACGTTGTGAATAGTGCTTCTCTGAACATTCTTGTACTTGTCTTTTGTGCACACATGTACATGTGTTTGTTGATAATAGTGCCAATGAATACTCAGTATGAGAGAATATAGAAGGAGGAGGGCTGTCAGCTGCTGGAGAAGAGTCATATACTATCAGGGGCAAAGAATTATTTTTGCTGTTCATGAATAAATTAATACGTAATATAGAACTATTAAGCTAAAGCTAGATCACGAAGAATTTTCCTTTCTTTAAGAAAGTCTCTAAATATTGTCAGTCGGTAAAAGTACTGCTTGAAGGTAGCACCTAATCAAAACTCAAGAGGTATATAGTAAACATAAATATCTGTTCATGTTCCCACCACTTGATTTCTGGTTACTGTTATTGTAGTTGATTATTGCTCCCTTTGACCACTTAATTCCTGATTGTCAGGATGGCTTTGGCTTGTTTGGCTGCCTCTGCAGTGTTCCCTTTCTCACCTAGTAATAGACAGCATTCTCTTTTGGTTGATTTTTTTTTTTAATCATTCATGTTGGTTTTATAAATGCATTCTTTTTTAGCTAATAAACATTGTTAGAGCAGTTGTAGGTGTATGTGGGTAGATTTTATAAAGATTACAGATAGACATATACTGAATTAAACTTAAACCTTTTGTTTTTTGACCTAATGTCATCACATACAAACATAATCCAACTTATACTGGGTCAGGAAATTCATTTTGGGCTCCTCACATCTTTTGTTGGACTCTTTTCTGTGCATAGTTAAAAGCAGCCATTTCTTCACAATCTGTGACAGATTCCTAAATGCATTTGACAAAGTGAATTTATAAAAAACTTGTGAAACAAGAGGAATGTTTGTATTTCTAATATCTATAGTGTTGGAGGAGTGTCATGGCATAAATAATCCCAAACTATGAGTGATCAAGAAATTATTGCTGTTTACTTTCAGGATGGATTTATTTTCACCATAATTTTCTAAGTGTTTAGCTTATGCTACTATTAACATTAATTTTTATCCCTTGAGAACATGATGACTTACAGCTGGACTTACATTTTAAAGAGACATGGTGCAATTTAAACTCTTCATTTTAACTATAGACTGATTGATCTGGGACAGCCTCCAAATGGTATCAAATCACCTCATATAGAGGTGGGTAGAAAATTAATTGCCGTAAGTTAAAATGTAGTAGTTTTCTGTGAAACTGCAGTATTACTATGATAAATAGTTTGAAAGTTTTTCAGACACACACAAAAATACAAGTATTGGGGCTTCCCTGATGGCGCAGTGGCTGAGAATCCGCCTGCCAATGCAGGGGACATGGGTTCGAATCCTGGTCTGGGAAGATCCCACATGCCACGGAGCAACTAAGTCTGTGCGCCACAACTACTGAGCCTGTGCTCTAGAGCCTGCGAGCCACAACTACTGAGCCCACATGCCACAACTACTGAAGCCCATGCACCTAGAGCCCATGCTCTGAAACAAGAGAAGCCCGAGCACCGCAACAAGACCCAACACAGCCAAAAATAAATAAATTTTAAAAAAAAACAAACAAGTATCTTTTAAGTATCTGAAAGGCCTAACTTCATCCATATGACATCCAAAAGACATGCAAATTAAAACTACAATGATAAACTATATGCAATTTTTAGATTGACACAGGTAAAAAGTTTGATAACTCTTTGTTGGAGAGAATATGGAGAAATAGGCACTCTAATACATTGTTGGTCGAGTGTAAATTGGTATCATTGTTTTTTTGGAGGAAATTTGGTAATAATTTTCAAAATAAAAATATTCACATATCCCTTGAGTCAGCAATTCCATTTTTAGGACTTTATCCTATAGATATACTGGCTCATGTGTACAAAGACTTAGGCAAAATAATTTTTATTGCAATATTGTTTGTTATAGCATAAGACTAGAAACAAGCTAAATGTTCATCAGTAGGTGACTGGTTAAATAAACTGTGGCATAGTCATACAATGGAACATAATAGCTGTTTTAAAAAATGCAGTAGATCATTAATCACTGAAATGGCATTGGTAAATAAGAAGGAAGGTACAGGACAGTATATATGATAGGTAACAACGTGTGTTAAAAACAGAGAAAGATACTTGTACACTTGTACTATAGGCAGCGACTTTCTCGGGAAGGGTAAATAACTATGGTGGAATGATTGTCTCTGATGAGGGAGATTGATTGGGTATTTGGGATAGGGTAGAGACTTTTGTAACCTTGAACTATTTGAATTATTTTTTCACATCCATGTAATATCTTTGCAAAATAAAAATTTGACATTCTTTATGTACTGATTAATACTGTGTAATGTCGTGATTTTTTTTTAAATTAAGTTGGATCACAAGGACGAGTCATAAGTTTTGAAATTAGAAAAGACCACCATGAACTGGCTAAGAAGAATTACAAACACTGGCGTGATTCATGGAAAATGAGTCATGTAGAAGAGTGGCCAGACAACGTGGATTTTATTCATAAGGATATTTTAGGAGCAACTGAAGACATAAAATCTTTAACATTTGATGCGGTAAGTTTTCTAAAGTAGTCCTATGATATTACCTAATACTGAGTACAAAGAAAACAAGGACCATGCTTCTTTTATATGGAAAAGGATCTTCCTTCATTATTTGCCCCATTTCTATCTCTAAGAGTGGGAGGAATATTTTCCTTTAATATCATGGTGGGATTCAGAGCAGAGAGATATACTGAATTAGGTGCCAAAGTTGTTAATAAATGTGGGGTAATGATGAAATACTAGGAGGAGTAGTTGAGCATCATGAACTTCAACATTTCTAGGATAAAGGAATAATAATTTGGAAGCAGCATTGGGAGCATACTGAGCCCCGCACCTGACCTCATATTGTGAGATTTGGGGGAATAAATAGCCTTCAGTTTTGAGGGAAGAGGCAAGAGGCATCTTTAGACAGTTAAAGTCAGGATGTAGAGGAGTGTCAATTAAAGATGTTGAGGATAGAGGCATATTTATTGAGAACAAAGCTCCAGAAAGTGGAGTGGAGGGATTTGTGAGGAGAGGGAGGAGTGGGAGGTTGAGTTAGGGGGGGAGAAGCAGAGTAGTATGAAGATAAAAGGATAGACGACGAGAGAATGCCATTTTAAGCTGTGAACAGTGATGGAGGAGATATGGGCCATAGTGCTATTAGATGACCTCAGAGTTTCACAATTCTAGTTTAAGTTGCCTTACCCTTGATGATGCCATTATCAGTTCATGGCTTGACACTATGGACTGAGGTCTGGGTAAGAAGTCTTCTTTGCTTTTCTTTTTTTTTTTTTTTAATAAATTTATTTATTTTATTTTATTTATTTATTTTTGGCCGTGTGGGGCCGTGTTTATTTATTTTTAGCAGGAGCTACTCTTCATTGCGTTGCACGTGCTTCTCATTGTGGTGGCTTCTCTTGTTGCAGAGCATGGGCTCTGGGTGCGTGGGCTTCAGTAGTTGTAGCACACGAGCTCATTAGTTGTGGCTCATGGGCTCTAGAGCGCAGGCTCAGTAGTTGTGGCGTATGGGCTTAGTTGCTCCGCAGCATGTGGGATCTTCTGGACTAGCGCTCGAACCCATGTCCCCTACATTGGCAGGTGGATTCTTAACCACTGTGCCACCAGGGAAGTCCCTTCTTCACTTTTCTTAATTGGCTATTGGAAGCTTATTTTAGGAACTTTATAAGGGAAACTAGGTGAGAAATGAAGTAAAGTTCAAAGAGGTGATTTTTATCAGGACTGGTTCCTATCTCTGATATAACTAAAGCCAATAGCTACAGTGGCACAGCTTCCTGGACACAAGGACCACAGTTTGTGTTTTTTTTTTCCTCATCCTTGTTTGGCTTGCACATTATATAGCTCAATAAGGACAGAAAGAGGACTTGTTCTATGTAGGCCATCCATAGGAACGTCACAGATACGTGGGAGTTTAATTGGTCATCAGAATTCTGCTTGATGAGCATGAAACACAACAAAGGATTTTAACAGTATTGTTACAGCCTTGTGGAAACCTGCTGAAACATCCATCCCTGTTCCAAAGGAAAGAATACTCCTTACTAGATTTTTTCAATTGAATCTCTCTTGAATAATAGTGACAGATGAATACTCAGAGCATATAGAAGGAGGAGAACTGTCAGCTTCTGGGGAAGAGTCATATACTATTGGGGCAAAGAATTACAGTTGGTGTTCATAAATAAATTACTCATAATATAGAATTATTAAGTTAAAGCTAGATCATGAAGAATTTTCCTTTCTTTAAGAAAGTCTCTAAAAATTGTCAGTTGGTGAAAGTCCTACTTGAAGGTAGCACTTGACCAAAACTCAAGAGGCGTATAGTAAACATAAATATCTTTGGGGAGAGGATGTTTATTTATTTATTTTATTGAAGTATAGTTGATTTACAATGTTGTGTTATTTTCTGGTGTACAGCAAAGTGATTCAGTTGTACATATATATACATATTCTTTTTCATATTCCTTTCCATTGTGGTTTATTACAGGATATTGAATATAGTTCATACAGTAGGACCTTATTCATCTATTGATATTTTATATATAGTAGTTTGTATCTGTTAATCCCAAATTCTTACTTCATCCCTCCCCCACCCCCTTTGGTAACCAGAAGTTTGTTTTCTATGTCTATGAGTCTGTTTCTGTTTCATAAATAAGTTCATTTGTGCTGTATTTTAGATTCCACATATAAGTGATATCATACGGTATTTATCTTTCTCTTTCTGACTTACTTCACTTAGTATGATAATCTCTAGGTCCATCCATGTTGCTGCAAATGGCATTATTTCATTCTTTTTTATGGCTGAGTAGTATTCCATTGTGTATATGTACCACATCTTCTTTATCCATTCATCTATCAGTGGACATTTAGGTTGCTTCCATATCTCGGCTGTTGTAAATAGTGCTGCTGTGAATATGGGGGTGCATGTATCTTTTTGAATGGCAACTCTACTTTTAGTTTTTTAAGGAACCTCCATACTAGTAAACATAAATTTCTATGCATGTTCCCACCACTTGATTTCTGGTTATTGTTATCCTAGTTGATTATTGCTTCCTTGACTACTTAATTCCTCTCCTAGCTGCCATCTCACCTCCTGGGCCTTCACACTTCCAATCCATTCTCCTCATCTTTAGACTAATCTAGTTCTCATACTGTCACTCTCCTGCTGAGAAACCAATTAGGAACTTTTCATTCAAAGATTTATGGTGTCCTTCAGAATCTGATCTCAACCTTCCTTTCTTTAGCTTTTTTATATAACCTGCCTATACTCCTGCCATCTCAAATGAGGGTAGATGAATAAAAAAAGGTGTTAAACCACAAAGACAAAGAGAACAGAACAAGAAAAAAATGGCTAATAAAAGATTTTAAACAAATTTTAATACATTTTGTAAACAACCTAACCATCAAAAGAGGAATGGACATGGTGGAATACTAACAATGGTATTATTTAACATAGTGAAATAAATGTACTGTATCTACATCAATAAATCTCCCTGAGAAAACCATAATTCAAAAAGACACATATGTCCCAATGTTCAATGCAGCACTATTTACAATAGCCAGGGCATGGAAACAACCTAAATGTCCATTGACAGATGAATGGATAAAGACTATGTGGTACATATAGACAATGGAATATTACTCATCCATAAAAAGGAACGAAATTGGGTCACTTGTAGAGATGTGGATGGACCTAGAGTTTGTCACACAGAGTGAAGTAAGTCAGAAAGAGAAAAACAAATATCGTATGTTAATGCATATATGTGGAATCTAGAAAAATAGTACAGATGAACCTATTTCCAGGGCAGGAATAGAAATGCAGATGTAGAGAACAGACGTGTGGACATGGAGGGAAAGGGGAGGGTGGGATGAATTGGGAGATTAGATTTGACATAGATACACTACCATGTGTAAGATAGCTAGTTAGAACCTGCGGTATAGCACAGGGAGCTCAGCTCGGTGTTCTGTGGTGACCTAGATGGGTGGGATGGGTGGGGGATGGGAGGGAGGTCCAAGAGGGAGGGGATATATGTATACATATAGCTGATTCACTTCATTGTACAGCAGAAGCTAACACAACATTGTAAAGCAATTATACTCCAATAAAAAAAATCTCATAGAACTTAGTGAAAAACGAATTATTCAAGAATAAGTATGGAATGGCTACATATATGTAAAATTTTAAAAACAGTACCATGTATTGTTTGTAGCTATATACATATGTTGTAGAAGCATAAAATTATTTGGCAACATTACCAACTTCAGGACAATGATTATCTCTGAGGAGAGAAAAGGAGGGAGTGAATAGAGGGAAGTAAGTTTTGGAGTTTATTCATCCTGGTTCACTTAGGCTCCATAGTAGCCAATATGACCGTGGGTAAATTACTTAATCTTTCTGTGCCTCAGTCACCTCATGTATTAAACGGGAATAGTAATCAATAATACCTATTTCATAGTGTTGTTGAGGATTAAATGAGGTGTTTCTGTAAAGTGCATAGAACAGTACCTGATATATAGTAAGCATTAAATTAGTATTAGCTATGATTTTCATCATTATTAGTTTTCTCCTTTTCCCTTTTCTCTACCTGTTTATTTTATTTTTTAAAATAAATTTATTTATTTAATTTATTTATTTGGCTGCATTGGATCATTGCTGCGCGCAGGCTCTCTCTAGTTGCGGCGAGCGGGGGCTACCCTTCGTTGCAGTGTGCGGGCTTCTCACTGCAGTGGCTTCGCTTGTTGTGGAGTACCAGCTCTAGGCATGTGGGCTTCAGTAGTTGTGGCACATGGGCTTAGTAGTTGTGGCTTGCGGGCTCTAGAGTGCAGGCTCAGTAGTTGTGGCGCATGGGCGTAGTTGCTCCACGGCATGTGGGATCTTCCCGGACCAGGGCTCGAACCCATGTCCCCTGCATTGGCAGGCGGATTCTTAACCACTGCACCACCAGGGAAGTCCCTACCTGTTTAAATTCTACTCTTCCTTCAAAGCTTAGATAAAAGGTTGTCTCCTCCATGGAATATACCTTAATCATCTAAGTGGAGGATTATCATCTTTCTCTGAATTACTGAACCACTTTCTTGATTCAACAAATATGTATTAGAGACCTGCTGTGTGCCGTGTACTATGCTAAGACAAAAATGAATTATACATTTAAAGGAGGTTTCGATATAGAAGAAAAGGTAGACATATAAACATTTATTAGAAAGACTCAGAAGCATGAAACATTATGGCTGTAGAATTGGGTCTAATGAGGAGATGAAGATGCAAATACAGTCATGAGGGACTAGATAGTGAAGGACACTTGTGTGTATATCAAGCTAGGACATGTGGATATTATCTTTTAGATAATGGAAAACTATTGATGAGTTCTTAAGTAGGGGAGTAGAATGTCCAGATTCCTGTTTCAGAATAATTCTGGTGAAAGAATGGAATTTACATAGTCTATGTAGAAAGCTATTGTAATGTTTCAACAAGATATGATGAGGTCCTGACCTAAAGCATTAGCAGTAGGATGAATTTGAGAAATACTAAGAGGTAGATTTGTAGGACTGGATAATTTTAATCCAAATAAAAGCATCAAAACCCCACAGATTCTCAAAAAAGAATTCAAGGTAAAGAAATAGTGACTGTAATTTCCTGATTTGAGTGGCTAATGAATGGTAATGTTGTTAGCTGAGCCATGGAGCTTTGGAATGGCAGGCTTCTTGGTAGTCTTATTTTTGGTCCTTGTTGATAATATACTAAAACTACAGTCAGAGAGACCAATATGTCCACACCGTTGGCCCTTTGATTAGTCATTGAGATCTTTACTTGGATATCTAATAGGCATCTTTTTTTTTAAGTATTTATTTATTTATTCATTCATTTATTTATGGCTGCATTGGGTCCCTTTTGCTGCACGTGGACTTTTCCCAGCTGTGGCGAGTGGGGGCCACTCCTTGCTGTGGTGCGTGGGCCTCCCATCACGGTGGCTTCTCCCATTACGGAGCACGGGCTCCAGGCGTGTGGGCCTCAGCAGCTGTGGAGAGCAGGCTTAGTTGCTCCCAGCAGCTGTGGTGCACGGGTTTCAGTAGTTGTGGCTCACGGGCTTAGTTGCTCTGCGGCATGTGGGATCCTCCCGGACCAGGGATTGAACCCGTGTACCCTGCACTGGCAGGCGGATTCTCAACCACTGTGCCACCAGGGAAGCCCTAATAGGCATCTTAAACTTGTGTCCAAATCTTGAATTCTCGAATATTTCTCCCCAAGCCTATTCTTCCCATTGTCTTAAATTATTTTCCTCAATAGTAAATGACATCTCCATTCTTTCAGTAACTTAGGATGAAAACACTGGATTCATTCTCACTTCTTTCTCTCACATCTGACAGCCAATTCTAATTCTAATTGGCTCTGTGTTCTCATCACATCCAATGCTATTTGCTATTGCAAGTCACCATCATCTTTCCTTGCCCAAGTCAGAATGTACTTAATGCCACTGAATTGTACACTTGAAATGGCAACTTTTATGTTATGTTTATCACATTCAAAAAAGTTTAAAAAGTCAGACCATGTCTCAAACTCTCCAGTGACTTTTCGCTTCCTGAGTAAAGTTAAAGTCTGTAAGATTCTGCATAATCTGTCCCTCCCCATCCCCACCACATCCCTACCATCTGAGAACTCTTCTCTTACCACTTTCCCCCTTTTGTCTCCACTGCAGCGACTGTGGCCTTCTCAGACTCACCAAGTATCCTACAGCCTCAGAGCATTTGTATTTGCTGTTCTCTGAATCTGGAGCACACTTCCCCCCTCAGTTTCCACAGGGTAACCTTAATCATTTTCTTTAGGTATCGTCACTGACCAGCCTATGTATAAAATAGTACTTCCTTCCCCTGCCCTGTCATTCTATCCTTCATGTCCTCCTTTATAATCCTGTAGTTCTTCATGTCACTCATTACCCTCTGAATTACATATTTATTAGATTTTTGTTTACTGCCTATTCCTTAATTAGAATATAAGTACCTATGAAACAAAATAGAATATAAGCTCCCATTATATTTTTACCACTTAGCAAAATACTTGGCACATGGTAGATGCTCAGTAAATATTTGGTGAATAAATAAATAATGAATGATGACCCATTATTACTGTTTTTTTTAAAACACATAAACAGAATAATTTCTAATTTAGTAAATATAATGATGTGCCAACTACATTAGATTTCTAGAGCTATCTATCAGTAAGTCACTTTATTTTCTATTTGACTGTATTTTTGTTTTCAGTGAATTTTTTTGTAATTTCATTTACTCTGCATTCATTCAACATCTTTTGAGTACAGCCCTGTATTCTGCAACTGAATGAAGAGTAAAGAAACAAGGGACATGATTCTTGAATTTTAGAATCTCTAAAATTAATTATTCAACACTTTTGAACATAAAAATACATATTTGAGATAATGTGAATTTCTATTGCCAAAAGCTGAACTAAAGCATTGAAACTTTACATATACAAATGACCTTTGTTTTTTTTTTCGCGGTACGCGGGCCTCTCACTGTTGTGGCCTCTCCCGTGGCGGAGCACAGGCTCCGGACGTGCAGGCTCAGCGGCCACGGCTCACGGGCCCAGCTGCTCCGCGGCATATGGGATCCTCCCGGACCGGGGCACAAACCCGTGTCCCCTGCATCGGCAGGCGGACTCTCAACCACTGCGCCACCAGGGAAGCCCACAGTTGACCTTTGAACAACATGGGGTTTAGGGGCACCACTCCTATGTGCAGTCAAAAATCTGAGTATAACTTATAGTCGGCCCTCCCTATCCATGGTTCCAACATATCCAGGGTTCCACATCTTCAGATTCAACCAACCGCAGATTGTGTAGTACTGTAGTGTTTACTATTGAAAAAATCCTTGCATTAAGTGGACCCGCGCAGTTCAAACCCATGTTGTTCAAGGGGCAACTGTGTGTGTGTGTGTGTGTGTGTGTGTGTGTGTGTGTGTGTGTGTGTGTGTGTGTGTGTGTGTATCTAGGTATGTGTATAAAATATAGCTAAAGATTCCTGTATTATCAATATTGCCAAGTACAAGACATGCCATTACAATTTTTATGTAGTCAAGTACTATGACAAATTGTATAATTATAAGTATGCCTTTTTGAGAGGGGTAAAATGACAGTCATTAGTATTACATTCTAAAAAATGAAATACTTTAACTGGGTAATTGCTTTCCCAAAGTGTATAATTTCACCTCAATAAGAAAAGAAAACACATGCTTTATTTAAACAAAACTCAGTCTGATTCTCTTTCCCCCACTACAGGTAGCTTTGGATATGTTGAATCCTCAAGTTGCTTTGCCTGTTTTATACCCAAATCTTAAACAGGGTGGTGTATGTGCTGTGTATCTAGCAAAGTGAGTAATGTGACTTTTTGGTAATGATATTTTAAACACAGTTTTGTTTTAAGTACTAGGCTAAAGTGTTCATTTTGTAACTGAGTTAAGTGTATATGTTATCTCGTAAAACTGTTATGAAGGGCTTCCCTGGTGGCACAGTGGTTAAAAATCTGCCTCCCAACACAAGGGACATGGGTTCAAGCCCTGGTCTGGGAAGATCTCACATGCTGTGGAGCAACTAAGCCCATGTGCCACAACAAGAGAAGCCACCACAATGAGAAGCCCGCGCACTGCAACGAAGAGTAGCCCCCTCTCGCCACAACTAGAGAAAGGCTGCGCGCAGCAATGAACACCCAGTGCAGCCCAAAATAAATAAATAAATTTTTAAAAAAGTCAAAAAAAAACTGTTATGAAACAGCATATGTCCCAAATTCAGTTATACTGCTGTTTAAATCATCCTTTACATAAATGGTAATATAAGATGCATATTTCTTCTGACAATTTAGAAGAAATGTTTTTAAAAGTGTAATGTGAACAATGACGTTATAGTCTCTTTATTGCTTTTACTTAGTATTCTCCTCTTATGTGCCCTAACTTGCATTTTTACATTTTTTCCCTTTTAATTTAAGCATAGCATTTAAATTGGCATAAGAGGTATAGTGAACTTAAATATAAAGTTATTATTGTAGTAGAAATTTAAACTATATTTTTCACTTTTTTGAAAGCATCACACAGGTTATTGAACTTTTAGATGGAATTCGCATCTGTGAACTTGCCCTCTCATGTGAAAAGATAAGTGAAGTTATTGTCAGAGATTGGTTGGTTTGCCTTGCAAAACAGAAAAATGGAATTTTACCTCAAAAAGTGGAACCTAAAATCAACAGAGATTTACAATTACATTCTCAAAAGAAAATTAGAATTGAAGGTGAGATGTTTCAAGAAGATGACCATGGTGAGCTTCAGTTTTATTTTATGCATGTGTTTGCAATAATAAATGGAGAATACATTCCTGAATGTATTGGGCAATACATTATAAAAATATTTCTCAGGGATTTATTATGTTTTTCCTATAGAAATTGAAATGTGGTATTTATTCTGTTAAATTAAAATCTTTTAAGAGACAGAATCATGACTTTTCCTGCCTTTTATGTAAAACTCTGATACTTTTGAAGAACTGAACTTCTTATAATATTCATATTTTACTTGTGACAAGGGGATTGGCTTATGAAATACTTTAAATATACTAAATAATGTTGTAAATTTAGATCAGTGATTATCACTGAAGGGAAAGAATTTAATAGGACCCGATATGCAAATAGCTAATATTCCAAAAAGCAACTTCTAGGAATTTTTCAAAGAACTAAATTTAGGTCCTTGTTGTATGTACACATTACTTAGGCCATAAACAAGTTTTCAGACATCCATTGATTTATGATATGAGCTTATCCATTTGGTTATAAAACCATATATAGGTTTATCATGTCATCCTTGACAAGTTGTTTCTGTAAGATAACTGTCAGAATAGCTCCAAGACAAATGCTAAAAAAAAAAAAAAGTCTGAGAGGAAAAAACTTACAGGAAAAGGACAGTAATTTGTTTTTTAACAGTTTTGTGAACAAATTATAAAATATTTTATGTAGCTTACAATACATATTTTGTTCTATAACAGAAGAATCACATTCTGATTTTCCCTATGGATCATTTCCCTATATTGCTAGACCTATACACTGGCAAACTGGTCATACAGGTAAGTTTTCCATGCTATATTATATGGTGTTTTCTTCTCAAAATTGCAATGACCTTACCTTTTCCTCCCTTCAAATTAGCTTTTCTTGTCAAGTTGAGGAAGTGCAAACCACAACTTAACTGAGTACCTCAGATGACAACTGATTTGAAGATGTGAAGAAAAATATCAAAATAGAACTTTGTATTGCAAATCACTACTTTCATAGATTGGTATTCTTAGCTACTACTATGATTTGTATAACTTTTACATGTAATTCTGAAAAGTAACAAAAGCTAGAGAAAGATGTGTAACATTTCAAAACTGCTTAAATGTCCCATTTTGACACTTGTCTTGCAGTTAGTTTGACATTTTGTAGTTAATGATTCCAAGTTTAGTTGAGCCATCTCATTCTTCACTTCCTGTAAACCACTCCATAGATTTGTCTTCCTTCATGAAATTAGTTTTCTTTTCTTTGTTTGATTGATGGTCATTGGCTACCAAAATAAAATATGCATTTTGAGATAAATTTTAGGTATCTGTGTATTTTAAGTACATATTTTAATGGCTTGTCTTAAAAAATAACAAATCTGGGCTATAGTAAATAATAGGGGGAAAACTGATAAGAATAACTATCTTAAAAATTGTAACAAAAGATGTAGCAATTCTTGAATCTCTTATCTTTCTCAGAATCATTTTAACAGTTTGAAAGAACATCAGAATTATTCTGTTATATAAATCAAATGTTTGGGGAGTTCCCTGGTGGTCCAGTTGTTAGGACTCGGCGCTTTCACTGCTGTGGCCCAGGTTCAATCCCTGGTCGGAGAACTAAGATCCTGCAAGCTGCACGGCGCAGCCAAAGATAATGTTTGGAGAGATACACTTTTTATACATATGAATTAATTAGGACTAGGGCTTATTATTATTCATAAGCACTATGAATAATGTTATTTACCATGTGCCTTACCTTTACCATGTGCCTTACATTGTTTTAAGAACGTTATAATATCTTTTCATTTAATATGTGTAGCTCATCCTTAAGATTATCCACATTTTACAGATAAACATAAGCTTATAGTTATTATTTAAATATAGATGTTTTATAGGTTTTGAAGTAGTAGTGCCTGGGAGGATATATGCTACTTATCCCTTAGGCTAGAACTACTTAAAATAATGTACATATTCTAAATAACATTTTACATATTTTTCGTTCTGTGGAAAAATTTAGTCTAAAATCTCTGCCTTTTTAGACTTTACAGCCTATAGTAGAGATAGACATTAAATAATCACACAAATATAAAACTAAAACTATTATAAATACTTCAGAGAAGTACAGGATTTAGTAGAGGTTTTGCTCTGATCAGGTAATTACCTATGCAAATGTCAATTGAGCTGCGACCTGAAGGGCAGGTAAGAGTTAACTACAGCAGGGAAAATGAGAACAAAAAAGGCCAGTGATGGGGTTGACTGAAAGATAGGTAGGGGTCAGGCCATGGAGGATCTTGTAGACCTGTTAAGGAGTTTGTCTATCCTAAGAAAAATGGGGTGCTATTGAAACATTTCATGAAGTAAGTGGTAACATGCTTAGATCTGTGTTTTGGAAAAAAATCACTCTGGTTGCATCTGGAGAACTGATTGAATCATAAGCGGAGTAGTCTTCTGGTACCATTTCTAAATGGTAAGTATCCGAACACTCATACAATAATAATGGCTTTAAAGTTTTCATAACATTTCCAGATCTATAGACGCTCTGATGTATATTTTTAGATTCCATCATGGAATACTCCCCTTTCTTCTGCCTTTCTATTTAACTACTAGTGAAATTCTGTCCTTCATTTATTGTTTTGAATGCAGGCCCTAATTGTACTTCTTGGAGAAGGGGCTGACTTAAGAGCAAAGAAAAGTTGTGCCTTCTCCTATTTCATGTAGAATGGCTTCTGTTCAGTACACTATGCTCAGTAGATGCTGAACTGAACAAGAGCTAACAGTGTCCATTCTAATAATGAGTTGAAAACCAAACTATATAAGCAAATAAACATTTATTTATATAGTTAATCAAAGTCCAGCTTAAGCCCTTATCCATCTCTCCATTGAACACTAAGCATGTTTATAATCTGGCTTGTGGGACAGGTGCCTTCTTCTAAAGTTAGCTTTCTATGTTCATTTCTGGTTCTCATTTACCATAATATAAACTCCTAGAGATTTGTGAGTGGTTCACAGCTGTCTTCCCAGTAACTTCCAAAGGCCCTGACTTTTCCACCCAGTAAATCAGTAAAAGTTTGCTGATGGCTTGAAGCTTACACTGGATCAGGTGTTATTTCATCTGCTGACTTGGTTGTTCTAGGGGGAAATTTAAGTATATAGCTCGCAGGTTGTGGAAGACTTTGAGTTTGAACTTTATACTTCAGAGTCAGTAGGGAACTTCTGAAGTTTCCATGGTCATGTAAAAGCAGATACTTTTTAAAAGTTAGTCTGTTAGTGGTGTCTGAGTATTTAAAGGAAGGAAAATATTAAATCAGAAATGTCATAGTAATACATAGTATAAAACTATGAGGTGATCTGTATTAATATACAACTATGAGGGGTGGAAAAGGGGCAAGTGTAAAAAAATATTGTGAAGGAAGAATCAGATAAGCTGGTGGTTCATTGGATGTAGAGGGAGAGAAGCTATATATATTCAAACTTTCATCTACTGTTCAGGCAAACATCTACTGTTTGCCTTATTTCTCTGGGCAAACAGGATTCAGCCCAGCTCATAAATAACTTCCTTGGAACAGCCTTCACTATGTCTCTCACCCTACAGAATTGATTCTGAAATCTTTTGTGCTCATAAATGTTGACCATATAGTTAGCATTGCCCTTATCACATCATTAATTTATAAGCCCTGATTATGCCTTTGTTAAGGATTTTAAATTGGGATGACTAGAACAGTGGTAATGACAAAAGTAAATAAGGAAGTTCAGAGAAGGATTTATTTCTGAGGAAAAATTATTTGGTTTTAGATTGCATAATGGAATGTCTTGTGCCTGCCTACGTGACCCAGGACTAAGGTTTGGTATACTGCTTTTTTCCCTTGGCTTCACTCTAAAATCTGGGGAGTCCTCAGATAATACATAATAATATGTACGCATGTCTCAGATATACTAGCCTAGGTTAAGACAGCATAAGGTAAAGAGAAACAATATAGTTCAGTAAGTATAAAAATGTGCTGTCTATTCAGATAGAACTGGGTTCTCATCTTGCTGTTTTCATTGTTGCTGTTTTACTTTGCAGCTGTGACTTTTCTGAGTTTGTTTCTTCATCAGTAAAATGAATGTCATAGTGGCACTTCAGGATTTCTTGTGGGGGGTCAGGTGTTAAATGAGACTACCTTTATAAGGTGGCTAGCACGTGATTGGTGATTGTGATGCATGTAAGTTTGTAAAGAATGCCTCATCTATCTCATCTCTCTCATCTATCTCCCATCTATCTATCTCCCACAACCTTATCAAAATCAACTATTTTATTCTTAGTAAATGTCATAAACATGTTTATGTAAAACTTGTTCGTTGAACGTGTTGTTTTGAGAAAAAATCTTAAGGCAGAAAAACATGTTTTTAACCTGAAAAGCAAGAAGTTGCTTGCGTTTGAAAGAAGGATGGAAGCATCGATACCAGCTATTGGTAAGTTTTATCATAAAAGCCTAAGCAGAGCATCAGCTCTTTGTGTCTCTCCTGGAGAATGAATTGAGTTGTCTGTAGCCACAAACCTTAAGGTGATTCCAACCACCTTATATAGACTGGAGGAAGAAAGTTTTGCTGGTAGAGGCCATTTACTGAGCATCAAAACAGCTGCTGAGGCAGTAAGAGACCACTGTTCCTGATAATACCATGTTACCCTTAATCCTCTCCACCCCCCGTTAGCCCACTGACTTGTTAAGCTTACTGAGGGAAAATGAATGTAAACGTTTATTGGTCAAGTGTATGTATGACCAATAATTTTTCTTTGTATTGCCTACCCTCTGTCATCCTGAAACAATAGGTTTTACATTTAACCTTGAATTCCCACTCAGAACAAAACACAAATGAGTAAATACTTATTTCTTCCTATAAAGGACCTATATATCCTAAACCAGGGTGTCAGGGCTTTCATCCAGGGACAGGAAGAAAGCACAGTTCCATTTACAACTGCCCCACTTTTCATCCAAAATCCCTCAAAGACCTGCTTTCCTTTTTTTCCTCGAAGCAAGCTGACTAGCAGAGCCCCTTACACCCTGGGTGCACTCTGATTTCCCATTGAAATATCAAAGCCTAAACATAGGGTGTGACTACTTTTGATATCTAAGGCATTAGTTTGAATAAAATATAAGTGCTTCTGTTCTGCTTTCGTTAAATATGTGTTCAAATTATGGTTGGAATTCTCTCCCAGTTCACTCCATACAACCTTTCATCAGGGACTTTGTTCTTTTTTTTGTTTGTTTAATCTAATTAATTTTTTTATACAGCAGGTTCTTATTAGTCATCAATTTTCTACACATAAGTGGATACATGTGAATCCCAATCGCCCAATTCATCCCACCACCACTACCACTTCCCTGCGGCTTTCCCTCCTTGGTGTCCATACGTTTGTTCTCTACATCTGTGTCTCAGTTTGTGCCCTGCAAACCAGTTCATCTGTACCATTTTTCTAGGTTCCACATATATGCATTAATATACGATATTTGTTTTTTTCTTTCTTACTTCACTTTGTATGACAGTCTCTAGATCCATCCACGTCTCAACAAATGACCCAATTTCATTCCTTTTTATGGCTGAGTAATATTCCATTGTATATATGTAGCACATCTTCTTTATCCATTCGTCTGTCAATGGGCATTTAGGTTGCCTCCATGACCTGGCTATTGTAAATAGTGCTGCAATGAACATTGGGGTGCATGTGTCTTTTTGAATTATGGTTTTCTCTGGGTATATGCCCAGTAGTGGGATTGCTGGATCATATGGTAATTCTACTTTTAGTTTTTTAAGGAACCTCCATACTGTTCTCCATAGTGGCTGTATCAATTTACATTCCCACCAACAGTGCAAGAAGGTTCCCTTTTCTCCACACCCTCTCCAGCATTTGTTGTTTGTAGATTTTCTGATGATGCCCATTCTAACTGGTGTGAGGTGATACCTCATTGTAGTTTTGATTTGCATTTCTGTAATAATTAGTGATCTTGAGCAGCTTTTCATGTGCTTCTTGGCCATCTGTATGTCTTCTTTGGAGAAATGTCTATTTAGGTCTTCTGCCCATTTTTGGGTTGGGTTGTTTGTTTAATATTGAGCTGCATGAGCTGTTTATATGTTTTGGAGATTAATCCTTTGTTGATTCGTTTGCAAATGTTTTCTCCCATTCTGAGGGTTGTCTTTTTGTCTTCTTTATGGTTTCCTTTGCTGTGCAAAAGCTTTGATGTTTCATTAGGTCCCATTTGTTTATTTTTGTTTTCATTTCCATTACTCTAGGAGGTGGGTCAAAAAGGATCTTGCTGTGATTTATGTCAAAGAGTGTTCTTCCTATGTTTTCCGCTAAGAGTTTTATAGTGTCTGGTCTTACATTTATAAGTCTTTAATCCATTTGGAGTTTATTTTTGTGTATGGTGTTAGGTAGTGTGCTAATTTCATTCTTTTACATATAGCTCTCCAGTTTTCCCCACACGACTTATTGAAGAGGCTTTCTTTTCTCCATTGTATATCTTTGCCTCCTTTGTCATAGATTAGTTGACCATAGGTGCGTGGGTTTATCTCTGGGCTTTCTATCTTGTTCCATTGATCTGTGTTTCTGTTTTTGTGCCAGTACCATATTGTCTTGATTACTGTAGCTTTGTGGTATAGTCTGAAGTCAGGGAGTCTGATTCCTCCAGCTCCGTTTTTTTCCCTCAAGACTGCTTTGGCTATTCGGGGTCTTTTGTGTCTCCATACAAATTTTAAGATTTTTTTGTTCTAGTTCTGTAAAAAATGCCATTGGTAATTTGATAGGGATTGCATTGAATCTGTAGATTGATTTGGATAGTATAGTCATTTTCACAATACTGATTCTTCCAATCCAAGAACATGGTATATCTCTCCATCTGTTGGTATCATCTTTAATTTCTTTTATCAGTGTCTTATAGTTTTCTGCATACAGGTCTTTTGTCTCCCTAGGTAGGTTTATTCCTAGGTATTTTATTCTTTTTGTTGCTATGGTAAATAGGAGTGTTCCCTTAATTTCTCTTTCAGATTTTTCATCATTAGTGTAGAGGAATGCAAGAGATTTCTGTGCATTAATTTTGTATGCTGCAACTTTACCAAATTCATTGATTAGTTCTAGTAGTTTTCTAGTGGCATCTTTAGGATTCTCTATGTATAGTATCATGTTATCTGCAAACAGTGTCAGTTTTACTTCTTTTTTTCCAATTTGTATTCCTTTTATTTCTTTTTCTTCTCTGATTGCCATGGCTAGGACTTCCAAAACTATGTTGAATAAGAGTGGCAAGAGTGGACATCCTTGTCTTGTTCCTGATTTAGAGGAAATGCTTTCAGTTTTTCACCATTGAGAATGACGTTTGCTGTGGGTTTGTCATAGATGGCCTTTATTATGTTGAGGTAGGTTCCCTCTATGCCCACTTTCTGGAGGGTTTTTATTATAAATGGGTGTTGAATTCCTCAAAAGCTTTTTCTGCATCTGTTGAGATGATCCTATGGTTTTTATTCTTCAATTTGTTAATATGGTGTATCACATTGATTGATTAGCATATATTGAAGAATCCTTGCATCCTTGGGATAAATCCCACTTGATCATGGTGTATGATCCTTTTAATGTGTTGTTGGATTCTGCTTGCTAGTATTTTGTTGAGGATTTTTGCATCTATATTCATCAGTGATATTGGTCTATAATTTTCTTTTTTTGTAGTATCTTTTTCTGGTTTTGGTGTCAGGGTGATGGTGGCCTCATAGAATGAGTTTGGGAGTGTTCCTTCCTCCTCAGTTCTTTGGAAGAGTTTGAGAAGGATGTGTGTTAGCTCTTCTGTAAATGTTTCATAGAATTCACCTGTGAAGCCATCTGGTCCTAGACTTTTGTTTGTTGGAAGATTTTTAATCACAGTTTCAATTTCGTGACTTGTGATTGGTCTGTTCATATTTTCTATTTCTTCCTGGTTCAGTCTTGGGAAATTATACCTTTCTAAGAATTTGTCCATTTCTTCCAGGTTGTCCATTTTATTGGCATAGAGTTGCTTGTAGTAGTCTCTTAGGATGCTTTGTATTTCTGCAGTGTCTGTTGTAACTTCTCCTTTTTCATTTCTAATTTTTTTTGTTTTTTTGGTGGTACATGGGCCTCTCACTATTGTGGGCTCTCCCGTCGCGGAGCACAGGCTCTGGACACGCAGGCTCAGCGGCCATGGCTCACGGGCCTAGCTGCTCCGCAGCATGTGGGATCTTCCTGGACCTGGGCACGAACCCGCGTCCCCTGCATCAGCAGGCGGACTCTCAACCACTGCGCCACCAGGGAAGCCCATTTCTAATTTTATTGATTTGAGTCCTCTCCCTCTTTTTCTTGATGAGTCTGACTAATGGTTTATCAATTTTCTTTATCTTCTCAAAGAACCAGCTTTTAGTTTTATTGATCTTTGCTATTGTTTTCTTTGTTTCCATTTCATTTATTTCTGCTCTGATCTTTATGATTTCTTTCTTTCCGCTAACTTTGGGTTTTGTTTGTTCTTCTTTCTCTAGTTCCTTTAGGTGTAAGGTTAGATTGTTTGAGATTTTTCTTGTTTCTTGAGGTAGGCTTGTATAGCTATAAACTTCCCTCTTAGAACTGCTTTTGCTGCATCCCATAGGTTTTGGATCGTCGTGTTTTCATTGTCATTTGTCTCTAGGTATTTTTTGATTTCTTCTTTGATTTCTTCAGTGATCTCTTGGCTATTTAGTAACGTATTGTTTAGCCTCTATGTGTGTGTGTCTTTTTTACGGTTTTTTCCCTGTAATTCATTTCTAATCTCATAGCGTTGTGGTCAGAAAAGATGCTTGATATGATTTCAGTTTTCTTAAATTAACTGAGGCTTGATTTGTGACCCAAGATGTGATCTATCTTGGAGAATGTTTCGTGCACACTTGAGAAGAAAGTTTAATCTGCTGTTTTTGGATGGAATGTTCTATAAATATCAGTTAAATCTATCTGGTCTATTGTGTCATTTAAAGCTTGTGTTTCCTTATTTACTTTCATTTTGGATGATCTGTCCATTGGTGTAAGTGAGGTGTTACAGTCCCCCACTAGTACTGTGTTACTGTCGATTTCCTCTTTTATAGCTGTTAGCAGTTGCCTTATGTATTGAGGTGCTCCTATGTTGGGTGCATATACATTTATAATTGTTATATCTTCTTCTTGGATTGATCCTTTGATCATTATGTAGTGTCCTTCCTTGTCTCTTGTAACATTCTTTATTTTAAAGTCTATTTTTTCTGATATGAGTATTGCTACTTCAGCTTTCTTTTGATTTCCAGTTGCATGGACTATCTTTTTCCATCCCCTCACTTTCATTCGTATGTGTCCCTAGGTCTGAAGTGGGTATCTTGTGGACAGCATATATATGGGTCTTGTTTTTGTATCCATTCAGCCAGCCTGTGTCTTTTGATTGGAGCATTTAATCCATTTACATTTAAGGTAATTATCGATATGTATGTTCATATAACCATTTTCTTAATTGTTTTAGGCTTGTTTTTTAGGTCCTTTTCTTCTCTCGTGTTTTCCACTTAGAAAAGTTCCTTTAGCATTTGTTGTAGAGCTGGTTTGGTGGTGCTGAATTCTCTTAGCTTTTGCTTATCTGTAAAGCTTTTGATTTCTCCATAGAATCTGAATGAGATCCTTGCAGGGTAGAGTAATCTTGGCTGTAGGTTCTTCCCTTTCATTACTCTAAGTATATCATGCCACTCCCTTCCGGCTTGTAGAGTTTCTGCTGAGAAATCAGCTGTTAACCTTATGGGAGTTCCTTTGTATGTTATTTGTCATTTTTCCCTTGCTGCTTTCAATACTTTTTCTTTGTCTTTAATTTTTGCCAATTTGATTACTATGTGTCTCGGTGTGTTCCTCCTTGAGTTTATCCTATATGGGACTCGCTGCACTTCCTGGACTTGGGTGGCTATTTCCTTTCCTGTGTTAGGGAAGTTTTCGACTATAATGTCTTCAAATATTTTCTCTGGTCTTTTTTCTCTCTCTTCTCCTTCTGGGACCCCTATAATGCAAATGTTGTTGTGTTTAATGTTGTTGCAGAGGTCTCTTAGGCTGTCTTCATTTCTTTTCATTCTTTTTTCTTTTTTCTGTTCCACAGCAGTGAATTCCACCATTCTGTCTTCCAGGTCAGTTATCCGTTCTTCTGCCTCAGTTATTCTGCTACTGATTCCTTCTAGTGTATTTTTCATTTCAGTTATTGTATTGTTCATCTCTGTTCTTTAATTCTTCTAGGTCTTTGTTAAACTTTTCTTGCATCTTCTCGATCTTTGCCTCCATTCTTTTTCTGAGGTCCTGGATCATCTTCACTATCATTATTCTGAATTCTTTTTCTGGAAGGTTGCTTATCTCCACTTCATTTAGTTGTTTTTCTGGGGTTTTATCTTGTTCCTTCATGTGGTACATAGCCCTCTGCCTTTTCATCTTGTCTGTCTCTCTCTGAATGTGATTTTTGTTCCACAGGCTGCAGGATTGTAGTTCTTCTTGCTTCTGCTGTCTGCCCTCTGGTGGATGAGGCTATCTAAGAGGCTTGTGCAAGTTTCCTGATGGGAGGGACTGGTGGTGGGTAGAGCTGACTGTTGCTCTGGTGGGCAGAGCTCAGTAAAACTTTAATCCGCTTGACTGCTGATGGGTGGGGCTGGTTTCCCTCCCTGTTGGTTGTTTGGCCTGAGGCAACCCAACACTGGAGCCTACCTGGGCTCTTTGGTGGGGCTAATGGCAGACTCTGGGAGGGCTCACTCCAAGGAGTTCTTCCCAGAACTTATGCTGCCAGTGTCCTTGTCCCCATGGTGAGCCACAGCCACCCCCCACCTCTGCAGGAGACCCTCCAACACTAGCAGGTAGGTCTGGTTCAGTCTCCCCTGGGGTCACTGCTCCTTCCCCTGGGTCCCAATGCGCACACTACTTTGTGTGTGCCCTCCAAGAGTGGAGTCTCTTTCTCCCCCAGTCCTGTTGAAGTCCTGCAATCAAATCCCGCTAGCCTTCAAAGTCTGATTCTCTAGGAATTCCTCCTCCCATTGCCCGACCCCCAGGTTGGGAAGCCTGACGTGGGGCTCAGAACCTTCACTCCAGTGGGTGGACTTCTGTAGTATAAGTGTTCTCCAGTCTGTGAGTCACCCACCCAGCAGTTATGGGGTTTGATTTTACTGTGATTGCGCCCCTCCTACTGTCTCATTGTGGGTTCTCCTTTGTCTTTGGATGTGGGGTATCTTTTTTGGTGAGTTCCAGTGTCTTCCTGTCGATGATTGTCCAGCAGCTAGTTGTGATTCTGGTGTTCTCACAAGAGGGAGTGAGAGCACGTCCTTCTACTCCGCCATCTTGGTTCAGGGCCAGGGACTTTGTTCTTAATGCTTTCACCAATTCTTTAGTCCTTAGCAATCTGCTAGAAGACTTCTGTGGCAGCTTATTTTCACTACTGAAGGCAGGATTTCATCAAAGGGGGTAGCAAAGCATCACAGGAATTAAGGTTGTAGTAGAGTCAAACCTGGGTTCAAGTGTCACTCTCTCAGTCATCTTGGGCAAATGATTTAACCTCTCTAAGCCTCTGTTTCCTTATGTACAAAGTGGAGATACTAGTATTTACCTTGGGGTTGGCTGTGAATATTAAGTGAGGTTATGAATGTAAAATCCTTAACACATTGCATGGAACATTTTAAATATCTAGTAAATCTTACCTGTTATGAGGATCAAAGACTGTAGGCAAAGGGGCTAGGAGAGAGGGGAAGGATGCTAAAAGGAAACTCTTATCATTTAGCCTATGATAGACCCTATTTACTTTCAAATATGAGTGAACAAATAAAAATGCTTGGACGTGTTACAAGGGAAGAGACTATACTGTCAGTCAAATTTGTTCAGTGATTACTATGGCCAGGGAATGGAACAGAAACAGGCAAGACCCCTACCTTCAGGAGTCTTAAGAGTCTAGTTTCTCAGTAAAACTTCAGTAGCCACTGCTAATCTCATAAGAATGTGGTAAAAATAAATAGGTGAAACTCTGAAATAATGTGAGTCTCACTATAGAATTAGAGAGAACCATAAGAAATCTGCCAGTCCCATCTTCAGATGGGTGAAAATCTGGGACAAAGGCATTATAAGAAGTAAAAAGGATCACTGCTGGTAGAATGTCATTCTGGTTCTGTTTCAAATCGAGAAATGTCAGAGAAGTACTCAACCTTTATAAATAATAATTTAAATGAAAATTAGGGTGTGGTTGACAAAGTATTTCCAGTTCATGCGATTATTTTCAAATTAATATAAAATACCATTGTTCAAAACCACTTAAATCCCAACAAAACAGAAATATGCAAATAAATTGTGGTACTTATAGCATGTCATGACTAAAAATCAGGTTTTCAAAGACTAAATAATGACATCAGGAAATGCTTTATGGGAAGTGAAAAAAAAAGCAAGCATAGATACAGTATGGTTCTATTTTTGAAAACAGAAAATAGAAATAGAAAGTGTATAGTATTACAAAGCTATAGTAACCAAAACAGTATGGTATTGGCATAAAAACAGACACGTAGATCAGTGGAACAGAATGGAGAGCTCAGAGATAAACGCACACATATGGTTAATTTATGACAAAGAAGTCAAAAATATATTGGGAAAAGATAGTCTCTTCAATAAATGGGGTTGGAAAAACTGGACAGCCACATGTGAAAGAATGAAACTGGACCACTATCTTTCACCATGCACAAAAATTAATTCAAAATGGATTAAAGACTTGAATGTAAGACCTGAAACCACAAAACTCCTAGAAGAAACAGTGGGTAAGGTCCTTGACATTGGTCTTGGCAACTGTTGTTTGGATTGCACACCAAAAGCAAAGGCAACAAATGCAAAAATAAACAGTGGGACTACATCAAACTAAAAAGCTTCTGTACAGTATAGGAAACCATCAACAAAATGAAAAGGCAACCTACCAAATGGGAGAAAATATTTGCAAATCATGTATCTGACAAGGGGGTTAATATCCAAAATATATAAAGAACTCATACAACTCAACAGAAAAAAAAAATCCAATTAAAAAATGATCAGGGCTTCCCTGGTGGCTCAGTGGTTGAGAGTCTGCCTGCTGATGCAGGGGACACGGGTTCGTGCCCTGGTCCAGGAAGATCCCACGTGCCACGGAGCGGCTAGGCCCGTGAGCCATGGCTGCTGAGCCTGCGCGTCCGGAGCCTGTGCTCTGCAACGGGAGAGGCCA